TAATAGTCAATATGATATAATAGTAAATATAGTCAATATAATATAATAGTCAATACAGACAATACAATATAATAGTCAATATAGTCACTATGATAGAATAGTAGATACATAGTCAATAGAGTCAATATAATCCAATAATCAATGCAGTCAGTATAATATCATAGTCAATATAGTCAGGGTTATATAATAGTAAATATAGTCAATATAATATAAGAGTCAAAATAATTAAAATTTCATATCGAAAAATAAACTACAGAAGGACACAGTGACAAAGGGAAGTAAACAAATATTTCTAATCACATTTATAGGTTCATTTGTTACATTCGTTTGTTATGGAAAGTATGCGATCAAAGCTGGAATCGGCTGCAACTCGGACAAAATATTTCAGCCGATGTTCCGTTCCCTTCACTTGTCACAACTATGATGTATTATGTATTACCAGGATTATTTATTACTACGCTCGTTATTCCACTTCGTTGACAGGCGAAGACGAGACCAATCCTGTTCACAGCGGCGAGGCGACTATTCCGCGATGAACTACCGTTCCGTTTTTGCTCTTGTCCGAAGAGCATTAACAGGAAAACACGGGCGCGCCGCTATTTTTCTGAAACATTCTCTCTGTTCCAGCCAGTATGCCGCGTGTTTTTGGAACGCGAGGCAAACATTCGGCGAAACTCAACACGAACGAAATAATAGAACGTAAAATCGAGGTTCGAGCGATTCGACGCTTGCGAGCAAAAAAAAAAGAGGAGAAAGAACGCGAAAACCGGGAAATTCTCTGTTCACTGGTCGCGGTTCCCCGAATTCTTCCACAGTAGTCTCGAACCAGCAGATAGTTCCGAATGGAATTAACTTCCTTTCAATTTCGATGAACGAAGTCTACTCGCTGGGAGAACTTCCTTTCGTAAATTAGTTGCCAGATTTTTCTGTGGACCAACGGAACACGAATTCTGCGAGTTTGTTTCGAACTGCAATCTACAGTTTCGCGATGGGTTATTGTTGTCTCGACTAATTACGATTCCTCTTTCACATGGAAATTTTCGAGCGTCGCATTGCGAACTAAATCGTTTCTGGATTTATTTGTCCAAGAATTTGTTTGTATTCATCTTGAACGATGTATTTGAAATCGTCTAAGGATACTATGAAAAATAAAAGTATGGCTTCGATGGTAAAATTGTCGCAGGGTGTCCCAAAATTATGGTACTTCCGGGAAATGATGGGTTCCTGAAATCATTTGAAATAATTTTCTCCTCGGCGAAATTGCAATCCGCTGCTTTGTTTACGAGTTACTAACGAAAAACACTGACCAATGAGGGGCAAGATCGCGTAACGCAAGGCGGCCGAGTTAATAAGCGGAACTGAACTTCGCGCGCTCGTTGGCTGGCCCGCCTCGCGCCAGCCGAGCTCGCCTCTCATTGGTCAGTGTTTTTCGTTAATAACTCGTTAACGAAGCCACGGATTGGATTTTCGCTAAGGAAGAAGTTACTTCAAATGACCTCAGGAACTTCGCATTTCCCGAAAATACCATAATTTTGGCACACTTTGTATAATACGACGATCCTGTTCAGCAAGATTGAAAACTGCAATAAGTAGAGGAGATAGTTATAACTGGACTGTGGATTTTATGCATGTATAACAAAAATAAGTTGATCCAATACAGAACAGTAGAAACATTTAAGGGATTTGAAAACACTGTTCAACTAATTCCAACTTATTAAAATGAGTATCAAACGAAATAAATAACCATGTAGCTGCTGTATCTCGTAAATAGTGAAGACAATTTTTATTTTGCAGAAAATTCCACAGTCTAGTTAGAACACGACAAACCAAGAAGTTCGGGAAACTAATTTAATATAATTTCTCTATAAAAATATGTAACACACAAATCATCCGTATATGTAAAAAGAATATTTTGCATAAATTTGTGGAATCTAAAAATAAAATTGTTGTCGTTTTAGCAAGACAGAAGCCATGTATTCTGAAAATGATCGTTACTTCTATTGCCTTTTCGATGATAGATTAATATACGATTTCCCGTTTCGAAATCATGGAATACAACGAACAAAAAATATGTTATTTTGGACCGATTACACTTCTTGCAGAAAACGTTTCATAATTGTTTACAGATTGGAGTTCCGTAACTACCCTCGTAAACTGAAAAATAAAGTAAATTCTCTCTAATTGATGCTCAGATTGTGCACAAAAATAGACAATTTGGAAAGAGAAGGTACGATTACTCGAGCTTCGCGGCTCATTTTTATAGTTACCAATTGTCAACAATCATAAAAACGGGGTGCAAGGCTCGAACGATCGTATATCCTCTTCCCAAATTGTCCAGCTTTATTTGGCTGTACTTGCATCTAAGAAATCTCAGCATTTCTCATTAATAACTAATTAACAAAACCCGCCGAGGAAACATTGTCCAAATTCTCACCACGGGAAATACCCATTTCATTTGATCCGGAGATTTTTGTCCCACCCTGTACGTATCGTGTAACACGAGGAATTAGCTGAGCATCATAAATTCCAGCAGCGATACGCAACAGTCGCGCATTCTGAATCGGTTCTCGTCGCCGCGGTCGAATCGAACGACACGGTGTAGCGTCGCTAGAAATTAATTAGAACGCAAAGTCGTATAGATAGCGCGGAGTACATACTAAAGATTGTCATGAAAGCGAACGATCAGTCTCGGGGACTGTTTCAAGACGGGGATCCGCCCTGGCTACTAATCAACCCAGTTATGTCAGAGACAATCTCCGTTCGTAAATCAAATCGCGGTGACTGTCGGCAATTAACGCGAAAAATCGCACTTTCCCCGCTGTGTGTTCCCGATAAAAAAAAAAGATTCTACGGCTGCCCGATGCCAGTTGTCTCCTTATCGTCGTCGCAAAAACTTGCCGCTTTCACCGTGTAAACGATACCTCGAATTTCTGGTACGATCCATTCAATCGTCCGAACGGGAATCGACCAAATAGAATAGCGTGACTGTATGCACGGGCTGCGCGTGTATGTAGTTAGCACAGAGGACATCGGGAATAGTCACTTATTCAATCGTTGAACCAGAGAATCGCGGGCAACCCGGCCGCCAATACTTTCTCCGCTTATCAGAAATCGTGGTAGAAGGTTGCTTATCTTAATTAGAAACGATACTCTGTATCACGTCGCTCTTTTTAATTACAAAACACGCCGATAAAAGTGACGCACGCGGCGACTGGATTTCAGCACTGGTAAACAAAACCGCTCTTTCGAAGTTTCGCGCTCTATTCCGGGATTATTCGATAAGCACTGGACACGATTACACTCAAATGTTGCACCGACTTGGCGATGTTATTTTAGAAAACATGCGAATAATAGGTCGGTCTGTTGATCCCATGCAACGAGGCAGGCTCGTGATCAAGATTTCCTACATAATCCGAATCATAGTGACGTAAGTCACATTTTCGTTATTGTAAGAAACAAGGATTGTTATTGTTTACTAACGTGTGTATCTCGCGGACTGACCGAATTCATTGTTAAGATAATTTCGAGTTAAGTTAATTTATAGTAACTATGTCGTTTCTTTCACTTGTGTCTTTTTAACATTTTCAAAGTCAAAATTTTCGAAAATTTTACCCATGCCGCTGTGATTTTAACTCGCTCGGATATGACCGTTTTTCGCCTTTTTTCATGTGGAAACAAAACTTGATGCTTGTGTTGTCCAAGTTTATGAATGAAGGTGCTTAGATTAACGCATTCGGACATACAGACAAAGAAGTGCAAATCAACGCAGTTGTGAAAGAATTCATAATGCAAGTACCTAACAACGATCAGACAATTTAAGGGATCGAAGAATCTATCAAATTACACTTCTTTCTAATAAAACCGTTTTGGAAAGTGCGAAGTGAATACAGGGTGTCCCAAAATTATGGTACGTCCAGGAAATGAGGGGTTCTTGAGGTCATTCGAAGTAACTTTTTCCTTTACAAAAGTTTTCTCCGAGGCATCGTGCACAAGTTATTAACAAAAAAACATTGACCAATGAGAGGCGAGCTCGGCGCGAGGCGGCCGAGCCAACGAGCAGCCGATGTTCCGCTCGGCCGTCTCGCGCCGGCAGATCTCGCCTCTCATTGGTCACTGTTTTTCATTAATAACTCGTAAACAAAACCGCGGATTGCAATTTCGCTGAGGAGAAAATTACTTCGAATGACCTCAAGAACTCCTCATTTCCCAGACATACAATAATTTTAGGACACCCTGTATATAGGTATTTCTATAAATTGGGCTTTTAAGTTACTGTTTACTTAAGCTGAAGACATTAGAACACGGCAGTAATATTCCGTCGACGAATTAGCATTCCTACACATTGAAGTAGGTAAAATTTATATTTATGCGAGTGAGAAATGGGCCTTGAATTCTGGATCATAACGACAAATCTGTCACATCACGTGATTAATGCTTTGAACTTTATTACCGCATTCGCATTTTAAGTCGTTAATGATTCTAAAATGAACAAACGATGCAACAGTAACGATCTGCTCTGCATCTGTAAATTAGAGAAAGAATTTTCTTTGTTTTTTTACAATGAGATTTAGAGTGTCATTTAAAACTGTTTACTGCGGGTAAATGTATGCGGCAACTCTGTAAATGATGCTTCTTTTAACTGGAATGTTCAATTCGGGACAAACATGCGCTGAACTTACTCATTACCGAGTTTATTAATACCGTCCGCATAACTTGCAATAATTTTACACAGTATTTCCCTCGGTTTAGAATAACGATTCTACGGTTTACTGAAACTTTTGCTCAGCTTATTATCCATTTGGAGCGAAGTTATTATTACTTTGAAGTTGAGACGAAAGATACTGAGATGAATTTGCGCATCAACAAGCATTGAGTCATACATTTCTTTAAGACATTGTTTGTTGCAATAACAATGGGATTGAACTAAATTATTACCGATACAAACGTTCCCTGTCATTTTTTAAATTTACGCTTACCGTAGAAGAATATGTATAATGTACTGATTAACACGTTCTTGAACAAACGAAAAATTCCATGGAAATAAAATAATTTTGTCATCATGTAGAGTCGAAGTTTATCATAGCGATTATGTCGTTCTTAAACTTTCTGAGAAGGTACAACTTTTTTATGATACCTTC